GCAAAAGCGGCCAGCGAGACCCCCTCTTCCGACGAAGGCATGGAGGCTCATCCCAAGCCAGGGCTCTACATTTGCTCTGTCAAGCCCCAGGCATGCAACGCCAGCGACAGGGAGTGAGCCAAAGGGGCAGGGGGGGCCACAGAGGCCGGCAGGACCCTCCTCACAAGACCTGGCCAGAGCTGTGGCCAAAATGGGGTGGCAGCTGACCGGGTGTCCTTAAGCTGGAGCAAGGATGGGACATTATTTCCAACTCTGCCTCCCTCAAGAGGATGATGGGGCCGGGGGAATGAGACCAGTTCTGTAAAGAAGGGCAAGGTGTGATGGCCCCGGACTGCCCTAAATCCTGTTTCCGCCCTTGTTCAGAGTTTTACAAGCGAGACTTGCAGGAAGCAAATTCTACCTTCCTGACCTCAACTGGCCACCTGTCCAGCTCAGGCATGGCTTGCCCCTGACCCCAGGGCCGACACCTCTGAGAAGTTCTGGTTCCAACTGCCAGAGTTCTGGAAGCCACGGGGCCCATGGCAACCTAGAAGCAAGGCTGATCTAAAACCCAGCCAATCTGGAGCCCTAAATGGGACAGAGCCCACGGAAGAGCAGGACACAAGAAGTTCCCATGGCAAGATGCGGCCTGGCTGCAGCACTGCACAGAGGAAGGAGCTGGGGCTCCTGGGGTGGCGGGGAGCTGGGGGGCGGTCCATGCATTAGGGGAGGGGGTGCGGGGCTACCTGCTCCTCCACTCAGCCTTCGGTCCTTCAAGTACGCAACTAAGAGAGAAGACAGAGCCAGAGGGGCAGGGTTGGGGAGACAGAACACGGGCGAAGAGGAGGTCCGGCAAGAGGAGGGCGTCGAGATGGGTCAGAGGAGAGGAAGGCGCAGAGCCGGCTGGGGGCAGGGCCAGAGCCTCAGGAAGCCCCCTCCTGCCCGCCCACCGAAGCAGCGGCCACAGAAGGAGCCACAGCACTGACTGATGTCAGTCTGGCCCTAGGAGTCGGGACAGCAGGGTGGGGTGCTCGTCTCACCCCCCGATTCTCCAGCCTGGGCTGCAGCACTGGGGGCTCACGCCCACAAAGCCTTTAAGGCCTATAACCTAGTGCCAGCACCCTCTCCATTCTGCTGGGGCTCACTCTCCCCGTGGACAGAATGTGGGAGGCCCGTACGACCTCCCAAATCCTTCCCAGCTCTTGGGCTGCCTGGTGGTATTTGTCCTGGGGCCCTGAGAATGAGTCCCAGCCCCGTGACAAGTACCGCTCAGCCACCCGTCGCAGCAGTGTCCGCCAGGCACTTGCTGGGCTCAGCGCCCAGCCTCAGAGTCCCTGCTGGCTCTCACTGCGGGTCTTGGCCTCTTGCTGCCCTGCTCCTCCACAGACAGGCTGGCAGGGGCCCCGGCCCCTGGGGGCGGGGGGTGGGGGTCTGTCCCTCGCTGGCCCCCCAGCCTTCCCCCCCAGGCCTGTCCTCCCCGGAAGGTACAAGCTCCAGAGGCTGAGGTCTGGGACGAAGAAAAACTCGGGCAGAGGAAGTGTGCTTCCAGGAGGAGAGCCAGGCGCAAGGGGGAGATGGAAGGAACTGAAGAGATGCACGTGTGTCACCAAGGGGGCATGTGCGCTCGTGGCGCTCACGAGCAGCGTCTCACCCCTGCACAAGGGGAAGTCGGGGGCGGGCAGGGAGCCAGTTCCACCCCTCTTTCCTCGGGGTCTTCAGATACGCCACCCCCAGTGTGGCTGCCTTCAGCTCTCCTAACACCCAGATGGCCTCACATGCCTTCCCCAGTCCCCAGACTCCAAGTCCACTCCTCTGATGCCCCTGGTACCATCCGGCATCTTCTCAGCCCTTCTCAGGTGCTGTAGGCCCAGCAGGCGCCGGGTGGGGTGGGTGACTCACCTCTAGGCAGGGCTTCCCTGGCAGAACGCAGAACTCAGCCCCGGGCCCCGCTCCCCAGAGCTGGGAGAAGCGTCCCCCACCCCAAAAGGCCCAGCCCTGTCAGGAGAACAGTGCCCCAAAGCCTCCCCAAGGGCAGGGCCTGGCCTGGGACAATCAAATTACAACCTAGGTGGAGATGCCCTAGAGGCCCCCAGGCACAGCGTCAGCCCCAACTTGCTGCCTGCCCCCCAGTCTCTAGGGCAGGGTGGGGTGGAGGTATACTTACTGTAGCCCATGCCTTGCAGGAAGTATTTGAAGGCTTCAGTCAGCTTCCCGGGCTGCAGGACGAGGGACAGGTACATGCTTTGTTTGGCTGCCTGGGATTCAGGGAGAGGGGAGGCTTCCCCAACCCCTGGCCAGGTAAGGGATGGAGAGAGGGCCAAGAGTCTCACCTGTGTGACCTGGGGGAGCCCCCCGGAATCTGCCATCTGCAGGGGAGAGAGGGGGGTGAGCTGAGCAGGGGCCCCCTCACACCACACCCTGCCTGTCCCTGGCACACCTGGACAGGCTCCCCTGACCAGACACACCGTCCTGCTCTGCTCCCGCCTTGGCTGGGACCCCGGGCAGGCCCCTCCCTGTGGCTGGGCCCAGGGTGGGGAGGAGGGCCTCACCTTCAGGAAGGTCGTGGTGGTTGGATCCAGTTTGGAGTTGCACTCAACCTGGGGACAAGGAACAGGCTTCAACAGAGTGAGGCGCCCGAGGGCTATCAGGCGTCCCCCTGCCCCAGATGCCAAGGGAGGGTCTATCCCCAGAGTTGCGGGCTCTACAGGTGAGGGAGGGAGTGCAGGGGGCAGACATAGGCACCTGGGCAAGGCCAAGGCCCTGGGGATCAGGAAGCAGCCCCCTGAGGGCCTGAGACCCTCTACTGCACTCACAACTGCTGCTGGGCTGGGGGCAGGGGCTGGGCAGCGGCCTCACAGCGAGCCAGGGCCACCTTGGCGGGGGAGGCTGGGAAAGCGCAAGGCACCCCAGAAGTCGGGCGTCAGAGGTGAGGGAGGGCCGAGGGTCAGCAGGAGACTCTGAAGCCCTGACCCTGCCTGGGTCGAGATGGCAGGCGCAGCCCACAGCCCTGCTCCCCGAAGCCCTCAGGCACACAGAGGGTGTCGTAGTTTGGGTGCACACTGGGGGCTTCCCTGGGCACTCCTCGACCCCTGACCCTCTGGGGGGGACATGAAACACCCCGGGCTGCCTGCGCTCAGAGTTCCAACAGGAGAGGTGACACATGATCCCCAAACATAATGGATGCATGTGATGGTCAAAGAGGGACCATTGCTGTGCTCATGAATTGCTCATTTCATAACAAATGAATCCAATTTTAGAGAAAAGAGAGATCTTAGTCTCTGGGCCTGAAATGGGTGGAGAGTGCGGAGGGGCTGCCGTGCTGCAGGGAGGGGTAGGGCGGGGCAATCAGGTGGCCCGGTCCTGGCCCCAGGCCCCTCCTGTCTCCAGGCCTCCCTCACCTGAAGGATGGGGGCTGTCTCAGGCACTGGTACCTGGCAAGATGGTGGGGAAGTGGGATGAGAAGCCCACCATCCGGCGTCCCCCCGAGGCCTTCCCGGGGCAGGGTCAGGAATTGGCCCCATTGGCCAGGAGCCAGTGACCCCTTTGCCCCTGCCACCCACTGGCACCAGGGCACAATCCCTCACTCACCACCCCCTCCTCGGCAGGTGCATTATCCCCGACCACCAGCATCACAGGGCAGCTGCAGACACAGAGAAGAAGGGCTGTCTGGCCTGGGCACCGGAGAGGGGGTTACAAAGGCCTGGCAGGCTGGAGGGGGCAGGGCACTCACCGGAGCGTCTTGGCGTTGGGCACTGTTCCAGGCCGGTTAATGTCCAGGTCTCTGCGGCTGCAGGGAGAGGCGGAGGTGGGCATCCCAGGATTGGATCCCGGGGCAGGGCTTTGGGGAATGTCCCCAAGCCTGACACTGCCATATTTCAACCCCATCCCTCCACATGGCAATTATGGCCCAACATCGCTGGAGGTGCTGGGCTGGCCCCAGATTTGGGGCTTACGCTCTAGTGTCTCAACGGTGAGACAAAGCCTCACACATGCCATTGGTAAAATGGGGAGACAGAGACCTGTTCTGCACAAGTAGGGGCCTGAGGGCTCCCCTCACGTGACTTCTCCCGGGATCCCCCCAAGTCATGCCAGGTGAGCCCTCACATTTGGCTCTCATCACGGGCTGTGCACCACCACCTGTGCTGGGAGTCCCGCGCCTTAGAAGCAGGCGGGCCGGGGCTTCCCTCCTTCTCCAGTGTTTCTCCAGCACCAGGCGTTCAATAAATATTTGTAGGAGAAAGAGGAGGGGCAGGCCAGCGGGGGGG